AATGCTTTACTGTTTACACTGAACACTGTAGCTCATCATTTATAGCGTCAACTCCTGCCCACTAAATTGATAGGTTATTATCCTTTTTTATCTTCTGCCTTTAATCAACGATTTGACTTCATAATTGAAACTCTTTCTGTAACTAAGTTTGATTAGTTGAAGTATTTAACTGTGAAAGTAAGCAGTAACATTATAATGGTATATATCGACAGACTGAGGACATTAAGCTACACTCACAAATATGGTCACTTAAGTATAAATTGCAATTTAATTATGCATAAGTTCCCTTCATTTTATGTAGATAAATTGTATAACAATCGAAACGAGTTTAAAAACTGCAAATACAAAACTTGTGTAACACTTCAATAGTTTAATATTTCTTCTTATCAAAATCTGAAATAAGAGATATCCCTCGGAAGCATATTAAAACAACAAAATTACATGAAAATTGCAGACTCTGTTCGATTGAGTACTTACATGAGTGACAATGAAAAGAATTACATTTTTCACACCCCTGTGCACCGGCTTGAGCTGTACTCAATTTCCAAGAGCGGTACTCAATTTCCTACACTTAAATATATTGCAGTTAATATCCCCAAAGAACCAAAAATAGAACGACACTGAAGTGAAGTACGTGGAAACTTTTTACGGCTGCCACGCGGCACTTGTACGGAATGCCGTTAGGGCCATTGCCTATGAATGTGTTGATCTGAAACGCGATAGTCGATAGTACGATGGTGAAAACGCGAAATCACGAAACTACGATGGTGAAAATGCGAAAGCACGATGATGAAAACGCGAAAGTACGATGATGAAAACGCGACAGTACGATACTACGATGATGAAAGCGCGATAAACTATCGTGTTTTCACCATCGTAATTTCGTGATTTCGTGTTTTCATCATTGTACTGTCGTGTTTTCATCATCGTACTATCGCGTTTTCACCATCGTACTATCGCGTTTTCACCATCGTACTATCGCGTTTTCATCATCGTACTGTCGTGCTTTCATCATCGTACTATCGCGTTTTCACCATCGTACTGTCGTGATTTCATCATCGTACTATCGCGTTTTCATCATCGTACTATCGCGTTTTCACCATCGTAGTTTCGGGATTTCGTGTTTTCACCATGGTACTATCGACTATCGCGTTTCAGATTAACACATTCATAGGCGATGGCCCTAACGGCATTCCGGAATGCCGTTAGGGCCATCGCCTATGAATGGTTTGATCTGAAACGCGATACTCGACAGTACGATGATGAAAACGCGAAATCACGAAACTACGATGGTGAAAACGCGACAGTACGATGTCGAAAACACGATAGTTTATCGCGCTTTCATCATCGTAGTATCGTACTGTCGCGATTTCATCATCGTACTATCGCGTTTCCATCATCGTGCTTTCGCGTTTTCACCATCGTAGTTTCGTGATTTCGCGTTTTCACCATCGTACTATCGACTATCGCGTTTTAGATCAACACATTCATAGGCGATGGCCCTAACGGCATTCCGTACACTTGGCACCTGCTGTTGTGAAGTATAAACATCTGGGAAAAGGCTGATCCCTTTGAAGCATTACTCACAACAAAATAACATACCCGTTCAAAATCTGAAGTACTATAAGAAGTTGTATATGAAACTCATTCATTCTGTCGTAACCAGTTAGATGGATATAGACATATTCCCAAAGCCACAAACCTGTCATCTTTACATTTAATAATCGATATATAAAATGATCGTGCTTTCAGAAATGTTTTTCTTGTGGTCCAAGGGACAGGTGATACATCAAGAAAATCTCCTCAGTTAATATTTTTAGAAGAAACTTTTCAAAGGGAAAATATAGAAGTTGACGTTATCAAAACATTATTCTAACGACTTTGTATAATGATAATAAAAAATTGCATCGGTTATATCTATCGACGCTCAAACTAAACCAAACAAAGCTTAGTAGTATATATTCTGACTGTAATCATCATTGAATTTTATGTACTTGAATATAATACGTTTTCTATCATTGCATATCTCAGAATAATGTCGCCGTCGATTTCGTTATGGATGAGTACATCATCTTAGTAGTCTAAGAAACAAAAACAAACATCGAGTAACAGCTGGTTAAAATTGGTAAATCCATTAAGAATTATTTTGAGTAAAATGCATTTAACCAAATAATTTCATGACTTAATAAAACCAGTAGGGATACAGGGACAGGACAATGACAACTTTGGGATTTACCTTAATATAAATATTAAAAACTTCCGTAATAATATGAGAACAATGTGAAATCATTCTGTTCACTTGAAATTGTCTGACCGAGATGATTTTTTTTTCAATGCCCGCCAAACGTGAGGAAAAGATTTAAATTGCATATAAACCAACCAGAACTTGTTATATTGGCCTTTTACACAAATGTTAGTGTTCATTATTTTTATCTTTCATGAAATTTACTTTGTGCAAAGTTTGGTAGTACTGAATTAACTGCTTGTGATTGACCCGCCTAGCGGTACTAAATTATACACGGTTGAAGTTTGTTTAATGTTAAGCAAATATTGGCGTAATTAAGTCTGATGTTTTAAACAATATCGGCTGGAGATAACGTATATGCATATGTAATATTAAACAACATTCGTCTTCAAAATGTATTTGAAAAAGACGGATAATTTACGAAACCGAGGTCAAACCTAAGTTTTTAAATTCTAAAAGAAGTATTGTTTTTATGCAGACTCCATGACAACACTTATTGGACACGGCTGTCTGCAGTTATTCCCACAAAATATTTAGAAACCTTTCCTTTTGCTTTTATTTTATTGGTTTGATATTGAAATGACATATTATTTATTATAATGCGTAGTAATAAACGAGGAGAACATAACAAATGTTTAAATGTAATCCGGATTTTAATAAAACTGCATCAAAGAAAACAGAAACTTGAAAGGTTTTTTATTTGTATACTGGGACTATAAAATTCACTTATTTTTTTCTCCATTTTAATGGCTTATCTAATGGTTTCGTTTCTAGGTCAAGAATCCATAAAAAGCTTGTCCATCCTTAGTGAGATATACTTGTAAATAAGAGAACTATTGTTAACATATGTTACACAATTTGTCTTAAAACCATACTCTAATGATGTGTAAGGGCTTTAATTATGGGGAAAATATTGACACTGATAAAGTTTGATTTTTCTTCTATTGTAAATAATTTAGTTCCTAAATGTTAACACTGTTAGAATTTTCATGCGCATTGTTTACATTTAATATAGATATGAGAGTAAAATTAAAAGCTTTGAAAGTAGAGCATCGGGATTTTTAATTTAAATAAAGATATCGATTTATCGAGTGATCGATTTATAAAATCTTAAAAAATCAGGTAATCAGTATTACCGTCTTAATCTGAATAACAGTTTGATTATATCTAATGTTGATTCTATCCTAAGTTTATACATGTATTATATGTTAATACAAGCCTAGGTCTGTTACAAACATAGCATGTGTTAAGCATTGTCATCCGCATCGTGATGAAATGAACCTAGCTATAAGTTTTTTATCTTAAAATTGACATATTTGGTCTACTTTTCGCTAAAGTAGGACATTGAACAAGAGATAAAGGATATATCTTCATCTTTAAGCCTTCTTTTGGATATAAAAATCATATTTTTATGTTTGTTCTATTCACTTTATGATAAAAATAAGTAAACTAATTGAAAATCCAAATATGTTTTTCACTATTGGCTCAACAACATGGTGCATTTTACGAATGTTTTGAGACTTAATAAAGATAAAGAACAAATCGCAGATCCTCAGTTGGCTCTAGAAAATGGTACATTTCACGAATATTCTAGAAGACATTTTATATAGAGAGAATAATTCACCGATCAAAAAGTGACCTTTCCATGCGGGCCTCTAGCAATCATTTTCTATTGGTTAGATCTTAAAGCTTTGGACTTTATATTGCTGTCAAGAATAACCTCCTTACTAAAACTTAGGGGTTTTCCACAGTTGACTCAGGCTCAGGAAAATCTAGCATTTTACGAAATCCTTTAAACTTTATAATTAGGATTCAAATTGCTATCACACAAAAATCTCATGAATTTTAAGACGTTGGTACATACAACAAAACATCACTGTAACGAAAGTTTAACAACTATATTGTATGCATGAACTTTATATATATTAAGTTTTACAAAAAATCTTACAAATGTCTTTGAAGTAAATGTTATTTATATAAATATGCTGAATAAGAGACGCACATATTTACGCGAATAAAGATGCATTACTAATAGATTTATTCGTTGATTACTGAAATACCTGGCAGACTTTAATTTATTTGAATTTGTATTATTTAACTCCGTGGTTAATTCAAGCGTAAAATGTTTACTGAAGTGGTGCACATAACATTTCTTTCTTCACTTACTTGGTAATGCATGTAAGGTACTTGTAATTAGTATTATATTATAGTATTTGATAATTTTCTGTAATATGTCTTCAGCTCGATATAAGCGTTAGGCAGGGAAATCGAAGACTTGACGGCATGGCAATGATTTTAAAACTTGCTAAAACGTATGTGACACAAGATCTGTATTTTCCTGAACAAATATGACAAAAGTTGTAAAAAGCATTAGCAGAAAATGGTTCAATGTTATACGATTACAAACCCGTTATCTTTCCCGCCATCTACGAGCATAAAATATCAGATATTAAAGTACACGTTAAGTAGTTGAAATTGTATGACAAAATAAATCAATTGAATGTGTTATTCTATAAAATAATTGAAATATTAATTGACTTTAAATCATTTTAAAATTTTCTAGCAGCGTAACATATTCTGTTCCCGTAAAGGTGGAAGCTGCTCTTTAATTCATGGAAAAAATGCACCTTTATCTTTTTATCGAGTCTTCTCCTTTTTGTTTTAGTTTTTTATAATGACTTTGTATTTATCATTACAGATACGCATGCCTTTATAACTAGTTAAAAAGTTCTATGCTTAAGTGGAATATACCAAAATGCCATCTAGCAATGTGGAAATACAAAGATTTACGAAAAGGACCGAACCTCCAATTGTTGGCTCTCAGTCCGTATGGGTACTAAATGGGGTCTTTTAATCACACGAAAATGCGATTTAGAGGTTTGAAACATAAACAATCCCATCAAGGCACGTATTTGCATGTAATTACGTCAGTATCTGGTGCTATGGTAATGTATGTGAGAACAAATTAAAAAGGAGTGTTAAGTTGTCCTGTGCATACATTATTTTGTTCCTCTTCTTCTTAACATATTACGTTTAACCTTTCGGGATAAAAAAGAGAAAGAAAACGTTTTGATAGAAAATGTCACAAGTACCTTCTCAGAGACATTGGGTAGATATCAAATATCAAAAGTCGCATTTGCAATGAAACATGTTTTAACTAGACGCTTTTTTTAGGATTCGTCCTTGACCTCAATCAGGCGACATCCAGTATAATGTTATGTATATACATATGTTTTTATGTTAAGGCTACAACTAAACTTAGGACATGAATATTAACTGGAACCTGGCAAGTATGTTGAAATGGATACTAGATAGCTCAGATTACATTTTTTGTGCTTTCCCTTTCCTTATATCTATTTCAATAGCAATAACAAAAAAAAAAAACAAAAAAAACAAAGACGAGACCAATCTCATTGTTCAGATAAAATGCTTGAGCAAGTCTCATTCCCGCCAAATGGACAGTTTCAATCTTACATGCGTCCAAATGACGTCATTTTAAACCTCGCGACTAATCTGACACCCCTGTGTCAGCTGTAATTAACATAATGTGCAAAATTAACAGGAACGAATCTGAAATGCAAGAAGTTTGCATTCACACAATTCCACCAAATCACCAAAAAAACGGTTAAACTTAAGTTTACAGCAAAATACTTTCCGAGCTCGAATGTGATGGATTGTTTTAACAAAAATTCTTTTGCTTTAATCCATTGCAATAACTTTTACGAGTTGCATTTTGCTTATTTCCGGTCAGATGATGCAACTAACAAATAAATATTGTAAATTACGTTCATAGTTAATGCTACAATTTTTTTTTGAAATTACTTCTTTGAGCATTTGCTTAAAATTTGTCATTGATTTGACAAACATGCTGTGAGAGAGATGGATTATTACGATTTGTCAAAATCATTTTAAACTGAACAATATACCCTTTCATTTAAGCGATAACAGTCAGGGAAGAGTTACTTCCCTTACCGGATGTGACGTAAATGGGGGATAAAACTATGCAGGCCGCATAGAATGTAAGCTTATTGAAAAGTTAATTGCGTAAATTCTAATCGTTCAGTTATGATTATAACATGTAAAAATTTACGCATGTATACATAAATTCAATATCAAGACAATAGAAAAAAAATACAAAAACAAAGATTGAGATTTATTTTCGCTATTTTCGCTACGGAGTGAAACAGCGAAATTTCAGTGAATATGTTTATTACATCTAGATTTTCTCTAATGCCAGGATAAAAAGCTAGTAACTAAATCAAATTTGAATATTTTAAAAACACTCATACACACTGAAATTGCCTATTATAAATTTATATGGTCATTTTATAGTTTTCTGTGTTATTTTCTGTCATTTAGAAAATTCCGGCATATTTGTGACAAACATGAAAATAAGATTGCAAATGTCTTTTAATGATTGTTTTTCAAGCTTTAATAGAACAATAACAGAATGCATTATGTCAATACTTACTGGTTCTGTTTCATTATGCCGCACAAAAAAATATTTCAAAGAACCAGTGAAGGATATAATTTTATTGATATTCCGGAAAGAACGCAAACCATGTGGCAATGATTTTTATAATTTTAGATTCGCACCAGACGATAATGAGATAATTTTGATATCAAAAATCTATTCTTATGATTATAAAAATAAAGACCTTTTCCCAGTAACTTATTTCATAGATAAATAGATTTAAGCGCCACTGGGCTGTAACATATTAATTATCAAGGTACCCATGTTCTATATACAAGCGGCACTTAGCTGTGATATCATAAAACACCAGGGTGCATTTTTTAGAGTTATAACATTACATCAGATTACGTCACTTTTGTTTGTTGTCAAAATAATTATAGTCCGAATTTTGTTATGGATTATCCTAGGGACTTTATTGGTCATGCCTTACTGATTTGATACTCAATCAAGAGTCCTACCAAGTGGCACAGTCAAAAATACGTAAAATTATGATTCAGTTAATAACCAATTTCTGTGAACGTGTTCACAACTTGTTTTTTTGTGACTTTTTTTAAACAATATTTGATAAGCAGAGTATGAATTAAAAAGTATCAAGTTGAAAATATTACTTTACCAGCTTAAATATATATGTGTGTGATGTACGATTTTTTGAGAGTGCATTTGTTGCCGACACAACATAGTATACAGTCATGTACATTCAAAAGAATTTTTACTTTTTATGCTTTTACATTTTTTTTGAAATAACATACACATGCATTTATATTGTTGTTTTTCTTTGTCTTAGTTATGCTTAAATCAAAATGATTTTTAATAAATCAATATCTTAAATTGCAATTAATTATTACGCAGCCGTTTTTTCGAAACGGCAGAATCCTTACATTTTTGAAACTCAAAATATCTTTTGGGTATTTTATATTGGCAGAGACATATGATACATTATCTATATCTCTGGGATTAGCAAGTAAGTACGATTTAACTGCCTGGTAAAGTGTTCATTATTAAGAATCTAAGGAAAATGGTAATCACGATCAGTTAGTTACCCAGCAATATGGTCTACTATTAAAACAAATCGTTAACCTTATTATAGTAAACATTTTTATTCATTTCAACATCCTTTTTATGTAATATCTTATTCAATTACATATAAGTTTGGCAATTTCAATCTGCCAATCTTACAAGAGAAAGGATTAAGCTCTTTATATCCCTCTATTATTGTACTTAATCGTATCGGCATTGTCCACCGTATCCCCCAATGACGTCATCCAAGGGCGACAACTTGAATACAGTCTTAAATGAAAGGGTCTATAAACCTGATCATGTCTCTAGCAATATATTATTCTCAACAGAATGTCGGGCGTATGTTCCACTAAGTTTGGTGTAAAACGACTGGAATACCACGCTTATAAGCATATATATCTTTTTGAAAATGATAGATAAATCATTGTGTTCTGTTTTCTTGATTGCTTGTCTGCATTTCGTAATATTTGAATTCTGAGTTTCTATCCTGTGTAACAAAACATAAAGAAAATACATTTGTGCATTCGTGCAACAATTATATTTGCATAAATAAATTCTATACAAAGCGCATTCCTTGTACTTCCGTCTGTAGGAATGCATTGGAGAAACAAATCCTTCTAAGAAATCATTTGAAAAATACAACGGCTATACAAACTTTAGTTTTTGTATCAAATACAATTTCCTTTAGATATACAAATACATCTTACACATCCGCAATTATATTGGCAGAAATTAAGCCTTAAAAAGTTCATTTAATTTGCTAAGTCCTTGAAGAAATACAAGATATAACTGAAGTTATACTTCATTTTCTAGCGTAAAATAGGAACACTACCTTAAAATTATATAAATATGATCTTCTATATCTCTACATAAAATTTGATTTAGATTGTGAGACAGTAATTTCTCCCTAAAACTAATATTTAATGTGTCATACGCGTAGACAGCGAAGAAGTTTTTATACGTCTTTTTCGTTATGGAATATATTACCATAACGCATTCAACCTTTAATCTCCTAATGCATTTAGCAAATTTTGTCATATCTGTTCGGGGAAACACAGATCTTGTGTCACATGCTTTTAGCCAAAGTCTAACACAATTTCCATGTCGTAAAATATTAGATCACCTCTTCTTTCTTCACCAACATTGAATTTTCTTTACATTAAGATTGCGACAAATGATAAAAGTGTATTGCAAAGTAAACAAAAACATAAAATTCAGTCATTTTATACCATATAAAGGGACGGAACGTGGTTTTTGCTTACTCAGGAAAAATAAAAATTGCTAGTAAACATATACTCACCCACCCAAGTTTATTACAACATTAAAGTTGCGAAGTCAAATACAGACATTCTGTTTTTTTATATTAATCTACGAACAGTGCTTATTGCTCACTCAGAAATCATTATTATACTTTTTTATGATGACGATAAAAATACATTTGACTTTTTATAAATCTCCTTACTGTATCTGCATATTTACAAGTCAACAATGCAACGGTGAACAAAACCCAGAATCCCCATTTAATCATATATATGTTTGTGTTTATCAGATAGCAACTGTCTAAAACGTGAAATATTTATGTTACATGGAAGTATAATGGCATTTTATAGATATGTACAAAAGCACTTGTGCAATATTACATTTATTCATTTCACAATAAAAACTTTGCTGTATTTTTGTACATGACTGTGTAAAAATAGTTTAATTGTTCATTAGATGTTTATAATTGTATGTACTAAGGCAATGAATAGTACTGTTGTTCTACAAGTTTTGATTGGATGTTGAATTTATTCATTGAGCTAGATCGTTGTCATTTATTGGAAATCATTGAGAGTCGCTATTACTTCCTAAACGAGCGCGTTGACAATATAAAGCGATCTCCAATAAATGTTTTGTAGCACTTCACAGAGCAACATGAAAACTCGTGTGGAACAAAACAATCACTGTAAGAATGAGAATCTCAGGTATCTTAGAGGAATTACGATCTTAATAAAAAGGCAGAAGAAATACAGTCCACAATAATTTAACGATTTAAAGTGGAATACAAGCATGTCACGAAGTATATGATTTTTATGATAGCGGAATAAATAAATGCTTTTTATGGAAGATTGAGATATGAAAGTAAAAACTGAATGTCACAGAGTTTTGACCATTCGAAACACTTTTCCACTTTTCCTGCTTGTATGTATATTTCTAATCCTATTGCAAAACAATATGGATACAAACGTTTCTTTAATCAACAAAATGGAAAAGGAGTTTTCAATAAAAGGACTTAATATTCGCCTTATGGACAATTTGAAAGAAATAGAAGAACAGCTTTCAAGTCAATATAAAAAACCTCTATTTTTGGAACGCATTCTAAGGATTTTACTCGGAAGTTACCGGACGCAATTATAATTGAATTTAAAAAATGTGGAACGCGCGCATTACTCGAGTATCTCAGATTAAATCCTAATATTAAAGCTGCAGGACCAGAACCTCATTTCTTTGACAGATATTATCATTTGGGGCTTGATTGGTACAGGTGATAAATGATATTTGTAGTATTTTTATAAATAACTGTTGTTATTATATATACTTAACACAATATCAAATAATAAACAGTATGTATCAGATACAGCATATCTTTATAACTTCTTTATTTGACTTAATTAGCTTTCTCTTCACTTATATAAATATACTTATAAATCCATGTGCGTTTGAAAAAAGGTAATTTTTAAGAAAAAAAAGCAACCGTTTTATGAACTTATTTTTCGCTTAGAGAAGATATATTGTCTTAATTTCTTCTTATATTTAATACTACAAAAATATCAAAATTTTATAAAACGTTATTGTCACTTAATACTATAAAAATGTCAACATCGGCTTAAAATGAGTGTTTGCTGATCTAAGCATAGACGAGATAGTTAAACATTGGTTCATGTACACGGTTTCAATAGCTTCGACAATAGTTTTGAGAGAGGAATAATTTTAATACTTTTTACTTGAATTATTGTCTTGAATTAAGTCATATTTTTTCTATATTTAGGCAAAAGATGCCAAAGACTCATGATGGACAACTAACGATTGAGAAAACTCCAAGATATTTCATAACGAAGGAAGTGCCAGAAAGGATTAACAATATGTCAAAATCTATAAAACTGATACTAGTTGTGCGAAATCCAGTTACTCGTGCTATTTCTGATTTTACACAAGCTGTTAGTAAAGGAGAATACAATACCACGGTAACATTTCAAAGCATGGCAATACGCCGTAACGGAACTGTAAACATGAAATGGTCAGCTGTAAACATAGGTCTTTATGTAAATCATTTAAAACGATGGTTAGAATATTTTCCGATGGACAATATACATATTGTTGACGGTGAAAAGTTGATAACAAATCCTGTGCAGGAATTGAATGCTGTTCAAGATTTCTTGGAAGTACCAAGAGAAATTTTAGACAACGCTATATATATGAATGCTTCTAGGGGATTTCCTTGCATCGTAAAACAAAACAATACACCACCTTACAAATGTTTTAAAGGTTCAAAGGGGAGGCATCACTCATATGCCGATTCCAATACACTAACAAAATTGCAGTATTTTTATAAACCTTATAACACTGGGTTTTATCAAATGGTTAATAAATATTTTTCTTGGTAGAATTGAATATAGTTATGTGTTTGTATCAGTATATACTACAAACTGATAAATATAAGATATGATTTTGATCATTGATAACAATCATATAAATGAAACATGTACTAAGCAAACAAGTTGTAAATATGCGACATAATATATACAGGATATTAAATAAGGGTAGATTTAATACTATATTAAACTCGTTGAATAAAAACAATATTATGTGATCTTACATTTATTGAACGCGCTGAATAGTGTCATTGTATGCGAGTCTATGGCGAGCATAATGTTCTTTTATTCAACGAGTTAAATAAATTTAGTATTAAACCTTCATTTAATATTCTTTTTTTATCACATATCCAAAATAAAATCGATTACAACAAAAATAAGGGGGATTTAATTCACGATTATGTTGAAGTAGTACCTCCAGACGATTGATTGCAGAAATCATGATTACATTTTTCATTCATGATCGTATATACATCGGTTTGAAGAGATAAACTAAACGTCTTAAAGTGCATTTCGGCGGGTGAAAAGTCGAGATTGTTGGAACTAGATAGTTCTATCGCCTATAAGAAGAGTTTTTAAAAGATATGTTGTTGATGATTTTTTCAGAAATATTCACTAAATCCTTTACTTTCAAAATGGAAATATGAAATAACGGTGGATAAAATGACGAAGTCTCTTCATGTTATAACAATTTTCAAACAATATAGCTATGAATGTTCATAACAGAATAATGGAAACATCTTTTCGTTTAATAATGTACTATAACACGTTATTTTATAAGATCCCGGGTGCATCGTGCTTGTTTCTATGGCTTCTTGCAAACTTTATGTTACACAAACAATAAAGTAATTGTATAATATACAATAAACACCTCTTGAAAGATTTTCGATTCAATAACCTAACTTTTATTTCGGAAAAAAAAACACTTAAGAAAAAAAAGGAGAAAAAAAACTAAACATTTTGCCGCAGTTATCTCTGAATTTCATTTGCTTTCTGATACTACCAATTCCTTACATTTTAGGATTTTTTTACTCTTTAAAACATCATGACCAGTGCATATGGCAAATTTTTTTTTAAACAAAATCATTAAAAGGAAAAGGTATCTTACACACCCGTACACGCATATTGTTTCAACAAAACAAACTGTTCAGGCGTAGTGTCATACTTCTTTTATGTGCCGTGTAGAGGCCGTAAAAAGTCGCCAATACATGCAATCAGAGACGTTAAATTTCCGTTCCGTGAAATCGGTTTAAAAAGCAATCCATTTACTTAGTTTTGCTATTGTTCTATTGTTTAGGGTACACCCATTATGTTTGAACCATACTTTGCTTTTTATGAAATGATACTAACATGGTGCAGAATTTTGAATTCCGAAATGTCGAATTTTAGATTCATATCAGGTTAATGTATATTTAGACCAATATGATCGTTAAATGTACGGATAATTATATAAATAATAATTGAAACAGGCAAGGTCACCTGAGATATAATAAACAACTTAGCTGATTTGTAATCTACTTAATAATATAATAAATAAACACGTGTGATACGGCAAACACTCTTTGATTTCTTTTATATAAAAACATATTCAGGAATTTCTTCTCCATGTATTTTCCTTGGCAAGGATAGTACATTTCCCTTAGAATAATGAAATCAGTCATGGTAAGGCTAGACTGTCACAGATATAAAATTCAATTTACATATTTGCTCTGGAGAGTCCCACTAATTCGCTGTTGTTGATGATATAGGACAGAACGGTCAGCGTTAAATAAATCAGACTGTGCAAATATAGGAAAATATATTGACAAACCTGTCAGGCACAACTATTACTTCCAATTTAGAACTATTTTCACGTTTAACAAAGACTAAAATAGGCTTTTTTGGTTTCAGCTTACAAAACAAAAAATTGATGTGTATCAAATTAAGAGATTATATGTGTGTTTAGGTTCGAGTACCCCCAGCCGCCGGAATGATTTATATATGGGCGAGCAAAATTAAAAGGATGAATTGCAGATAAATTCAAAAAGGTTAAATTTTTGTATTTTTATATGATTATGCAAAATAACACGATAACAAACTAACGGATTAACCTTAACAAACTCATAACAAACATATGCATGATAATTCAACTAGTTAATAATTCAGTGTAATTCTGTTTTGTTCTTGTGTTTCAGTCTTAGGCAATAAGTGCAACTCTATGTTCCGCGAATTCCTGATAAAAATGTTCATCCGTTCGAAATTCAATTCATTTGTTTTGGACGAAAGTAACTTTAGATTTGATGAATTTTAAAACAAAGTTGAGATATTTGTATGAATATTGGAACACACTTTGCAATTTTATTCATGTTGTATGATTTAGGAAATAGCTACCAGTTTTGAGTGCGTTGTTGTTGAATATGAACAGTTCGAGTTCAAGTACGTAGAAATATAAAATGTAACGATGGCCGATAAACCTGAAGTATATGAACGATATACCTTGTATTTTTATACTATAATGCAAAATGATAATATATACTTGCATTCTAACATGATAATAAAAAAGATAATTGATAGAAAAATATTGAACTACTTTTAGTATTTTTATGTTGTGCATATATTGTGCAATTTATTCTTGGGTCTAAATAATTTTCTTTTCTCAGCATAGTGTAACTTATTGTAAAAACAACAAAACAATAAACAAAATGAAATTACATCGGAAACTGTTAGAAAAAATTTAAATTCTTACACACTTCTGACTATTTCCCTATTAAACAGATAGGGCATTCGAGTACATTATTACATATTTGCAGTTTATTTGTATGTACTGGGTTTATGGATAATATGTAATATATATAATTAAGATATCTGTTAATTTGTCTTTTTGCATAATTAAACATTTACTGCCTTTGCTTGTTGATTTTTGTTCCCATATTTCTCTCACTTAAATCAAAAATTTGAAATATTATTTCTTACAATTTTCTGTAAACTGATATCCGTAATATAACACATCATTAACAAATAGATAAAAAGTATATCAGAAAAAATAAAAGTAATAATTTGACAACAAAAGTAAAGAATAAAAAAGGAAAACAAAAAGGGAAAATGTGGACCCAAACACGCCCCACGTATTCTCGCTAACAATGTATACCTTCAGAAAGGTGGTACTGCATTAAGCATCAAATACCTTAATATTTCAATTAAGAGGCGTTGTTGCAAAACGTTTAAAAAAACATGGAAAAGCTCAATATGGTAGAAAAATGAATGTTCTCATTGGCTTACGGCTGCAATTAAGGGTCACCATTACCATTTTTACAAATAAAATATACAACATTTATCCAGGAAAATTGCTTTTTGGTGCAACACAGTATCATGCCATAAATTTGCGTTATGCATGTTTTACAATCGGACAACAGCAATAAGATGTCTGGACTTCTGGACTTGTTAAATATTGCTGTTATTATTATATGAAAACATTTATCAAACCTTGGCTGCAATTTTATTATTTGCTTTGTTTTTTATTGCTAGCGATGAATTTGTCTGGACATTGCAGAAATATAGAGGGATATTGTTAACCATTGTTAAAGAAATACAGTCTGTATTAACGTATGATATAAAGATATTTACACCAATATTTGAATAGGAAATGGACATAAAATACGTTTCGATATACGTTTGAATAAATAATGATAGGACATATAAAAATTGACTTGCACATGAAGAACGGCACATATCTGTACGTAAGTTTGGACTATAAATATACACGTAGACTAAATAAGAATAACTGTAAAGGTAAATGTTACAAAAAATGTAAATATTACAATTGAACACTGTCGCGCGTAATTGTACCGGTTGTTTAAGATATCGCACTGTACCAAAATAAATATAGAAATGTCATGATTAGTATTATGTTTTCTTATTCTTAAAAGTAAATTAAAGTAATTAGACTGTTTTTAATCAGATCAAATATCAATTAAATCGTAATGATGTCTTGATTCATTCATTGATTTGATGGATAAATAAGATGGCGAAATAAGTTCAAATTCATTACAAACATGGATATCTATGAAAAGATTTTCAACTTTCAAAATACTATATTGCTATGTGGGATACACGCCGCGTTCAGTGCAATCATTACCATTAATGTATGTGATGAATACTTGTATTCAAAAAATAAGTGTGAATCTTACAATCCAAAAAATGTATATCCATTACAGTACACGTGATAGAAAATGCATCGAAACACTAGGCATATGTCTTGTACGAAGGGACGATACCCACGAGTGTTAATCAGATTGCCGTGTGTTTTGATATTCTTTCTCTTTTGCATCATAGGCAAAAACAAAAAAAAATACTTTCCCTGCCGTCACAATATGACACCACAGAAAAGAGAAACCAATGTACATGTACGAGCTTCTGAATATGACTTTTTATTGCTGTCCCTTTCCCTGTCTTCACAATAAGTAAACCCATGAAAATGAGCATGCTCTTGTTTAATCCCTACAGACAGTGCTGTAATTGGAGTGGGGTAACACTGCAACCCGAACTCCAGTTAACGCACTGTGCATGTATGGGTAAACGAGTTAACTCTGACATATTTTCAATAGAAAGGTCTCCAAACTATGAAAAAAATCATTTAATGTAAATCTGTGCTCACGTTGTTTTATTACTTAATATATAATAAGCTCAGCATTGTTCGATATAGACAGAAGTATGAGGCAAACTTGAACATGTGAAATATTTGAATCTACCAGGACAGAATAAATCCTTATTTAATTATATATTCATTGGAACGGGTTATGCTGTGAGTCCTGGATTAAATTCGTTAACGTATTTAGAAGATTTCTCCCAAATTCGTCTGTTCTTATGGTTCGTTATTTTACTGACAAAATTTCAAATAGGTGGTTGCAGATCTGTTTGCTATTTGTTCATGTTTTGATTTTTCTCTTATTGTTTACCTGAAACGAATATAATATTTCAAATGTAGTGAATAATAAATTACTGAAAATGCATGTTCCGTCCAACCATAATTCTTG